TGAAACTGTGACTGTTTGAGGACCAGGAAAGGGAGAGGAGAGGGGAAGGTGTTGAGCCTGAGCAAAGCGGGGCTGCAGCCTGCAGGTCGTTCCCCTCAGGAGAATTCCAGCTCCATCCTTTAGAACTGGCCCTGCCGTGATAGCCTGGGGGACTCGGGCGATTCATATGTAAATGTAGGAAAGCCTGGGGGAAATGCCTACCCTATTCAAAGGATTTGGGGGTTGCGGAGCATTCCAGAGCTCTGGGAAGATTCTGCTCCGCCTGTTACCCTGGGACCCACACGTCCTCCCCCACCGGCCGTGGCCTTTTGGCACCGCAGGTGCATCCCGGGGCGCCGGAGCCCACGGCGGCAGGTGGGGCAGCCTGAGCCGCTGGGGGCCTTGCCGGCAGGTCAGAGATTTTCCCCACCAAACCCAGAGCCAGCTTTCAGAGGAAGGCCAGAAGTGAGTGGCTTTTCTCTGTGACTCTGCTTTCAAAGGGTGGCTTGTGGAGTTGCGGGAAGCTGCGGGTTCCTTGGACCCCTTCCTTACAACGCCGAGGAAGGACCCTGGGGACGCACACTAACCTGCGGGGTGGGGGTCTCTCGAGAGGGGGTGGAATTGGGACTTTGTGGGGGTGCTGGGACCGGGAGGAGGAACAAAAGGGAACAACAACCCCGCACAAATTGTCTGATCAGAGAGAGTAAATTTGTGCCATCAGCTTTGGCTCCGGCTCCTAAATTCCTCCAGGGCCATCCCTGCAAGAAGGTGGGAGCTGGTCTGCACACTGCAGTGTAGGCTGCTACTGGCCTCAGCCTCCTCCATGTGCTTCCTCAGCTTTTATTGTTCTTAGAGAAAAGTGGAGTGTTCCAGGGTCTGGACAGAGCATTTCTACTTGGTGCATTTTACCTCAATCTGGTGCAGACAGCATGTTCTGACCCATGGTGGGGAAAGAACTAACTTGTGTCGAGTTATTACCTTGTTTATTCCCTCAACAGCTTGGCAAAGCAGGCACTGTTACCCTCATTTTACAGATGAGGACGTTGAGGCCCAGAGGTCAAGTGGCCTTTGCCGGGGTTCCCCAGCTCGAGCAGCGTAGAGCAAGATTCCAAGCCTGTCTCCGCTGCAGCTAGCTGAGGGAGGAGGCCACCTTCTCTCACTCGGTCGTCCCAGATACTGAAATTTTAGATCAGACTTTTTCCTTAGGATGTATTTGGAATAATGGAAAAAGGGTTTTACATTTGGAGTCATTTCAAGCCAGATATTTCTAGTTTGACGTAATCTTGAGAATTAATATGTCTCTAGAGCTTGAGGGTCACCTACATCTTCAGAAACATGTAGAATTTTGTCAAAATTGCAGATACATTCCACAGGGATTTTAAATCATGCTAAAGTGTTTTTGGTTTTGTTTTAAAGGCAGTCCAAAAGTTTATAATGCACCTGCAAAAAATAAAAAAAGCATCATGCTGTTAGTTTAAAAGAATTGTTACCATTTCTTTTTTCTCTTTTAATAAAAATAAAAATCCGCGTTTCTTAGTGTAGGTTGCTGGCTTTTGATTGACGAATACTTGGTGGTATTTTAAGCTTTCAACTCTTATAATTAATAGAACTTTGATTCCTGAGATAGAATAGTTTCCAGGGAATTTTCAAGATTTGAGGCATATAAACCCCTGATCTTTTCTAGTTGAGAGTCCAGGCGAGGGAGGCAAAATGGTACAGGATTAAGTGCAGAGGCTTTGGATTGAAATATATTTAGATTAAAATTCCAGAACTGCCGTTTACTCACTACATAACCTGGGACAAGTTGGTCAGCCTCTCAAAACCCGGGTTATCTATTACATCAAGTAATAATACAACTTGAGAGTTTTGACATGAATATTAAATAAGTTCAGGGACATAAGTATGTAAAGTGCATTGCCCGTGGTAGGAATTCAGTAAATGTTCTCCCTTTCAGAGCTTTTTAGTCCTGTATTAAAAATGAGTGTCTTCTAAAAATAACGTATCATTATATGTTGTATGCCTGAAGCGAATATTATGTCAATTATCCCTAAATAAAGAAGATAATAAATTTTAAAAATGAGTTTCTCTTCTCAACTTGCCACTTACGAAACCATATTTGGCAGTGAGATCCTATTGCTTGAAATTGCAAAGAAAATTTGAAACAAGGCTATTGAAAATAAATTTTACATATGCTACAATTAATTTGGGATTATGATTTAGCACTCTAGTGCAATAAGAGTTATGCTTGAAATTTTGTCATTCTACCAAAAGAAGTTCAAGAAAGATACTTTCCGATTTTTTTTTTTTTTTTAAGATTTATTCATTTGGCAGAGACACAGCGAGAGAGGGAACACAAGCAGGGGGAGCGGGAGAGGGAGAAGCAGGCTTCCCGCGGAGCAGAGAGCCCGTTGCGGGGCTCCGATCCCAGGACCCTGGGATCATGACCCGAGCCGGAGGCAGACGCTTAACGACTGAGCCACCCAGGCGCCCCCGATTATGTCTTTTTAAACTTTATTTTGAATACTACAAAATTTACACATTATTGCAGTAGTACAAAGAACCTCCTGTATATCCTTTATTCACATCCATCCGTGTTTAACATTTTGTTGGGTTTTGTGTTCATTCTCTCTCTACACACACACACACACACACACACACACACACAGTTTTCTGACTGAGTGTAGGTTGCATATATTGTGTCCTTTCGTAAGCTTCCATTTGTATTTTGTATGAACCATGGATGTCCTACATGACCACATAGATTTGCCATTTTAGGAAATTTTTCACTGATTTAATCGTTTATCTAACTTACAGTCTATATTACAACTTCACCAGTTGCCCTAGTAATGTCCTTTGTAGCAATTTTTTTCCCCCAGATCAGGACTCAGTTGCTATTCACACATGGCATTTACTTGTCATCTTCTCAGTCATCTTTGATTGGGGACTGTCTCCTAAGCTTGTCTTTCTTTCTTTTTTTAAGTAAACTGTACATCCAGTGGGGAGCTCAAACTCATGACCCCAAGATCAAGAGTCACAGGCTCCACAGATGGAGCCAGCCATCCAGGAGCCCTTCTTCGTCTTTTATAACATGACATGTTGAAGAATTCAAATCCTTAGTTTGCATGTGTCTGATGTTTCCTCAAGATTTGTTTCAGATTATGCATTTTTGACTGGGATACCACATCAGGGATATTGGGTTGTTTCCGGATATGACGAGTGGAAAGACATGATGTCTGTTTGCCCTTTATTGATGATGTGAATTTTTTTACTCGGCGATCGTATTCTCCCTTTCTCCACTATATATAGTCACTATTTTTCATTGTTGTAATTAATAAGTAATTTGTAATAACTAACTCAAAACGGTGCAAATATGTTATCAATATGAATTCATGGATTGTTAGTTTAGTCAATGGATTATAGTCCATTGCTGTGCTTATTTACTTTGATACTCAAATTGTACCAGATTTGGCCAATGGGAGCCCCTTGAAGCTGGCTCCATGCCTTTTGGAAATACCTCCATCATGTTGGGCACTTTCTTCTTTTCTGCCATTAGATGTTTCTGGTTCACCTATGCCTTCCTTGCTCCAATCTTGGAATTAGCTATTTCTCCAAGGAATTCTGGTTTCTTTCAGTGGAGAGTGGTTTTTAGAAACCAGAATCTGGGTGCATTCTTTTTTAAACATTGGAATTCCTAGGTTCTTAGAGAAGGGGCCGTGGGGAGGATTTTTGAAGACTGAAATCTGATGTGAAAGCCTAGTTTTCCATAAGTAGTGTAAACGTGTGTTTTTGCTTCTTAGATCTGCTAAAAATATTATTGTGATCACACCCAGATTAGTATATTTACTTAACCAAAATCGTAGTTTTTTTTAAGTGGGTCTTAAGGAATTTGAAATAAACTGAACAGAGATTGCTTCATTGTTGGAATTTTTTTCAAGTGTTTATTTTAGTGTTTAATGTTTATTTTAAATGAACAAATGCCATCCCATCTTTATAAATCTCATCATGTGTAGCTAACTAATGGGTAATTGTAAAAGCTAATGACAAGGTACATATTTGTTTTCGTTTTTAGATCATACGGTATGGTTCTACAGAGGTTCTTTTGACTGAAAATATCCTTAAAAAGAATTTCATCTTTGAGGCGCTTGGGTGGCTCAGTCGTTAAGCGTCTGCCTTTGGCTCAAGTCATGATCCCAGGGCCCTGGGATCCAGCCCCACCTCAGGCTCCCTGCTCTGCGGGAAGCCTGCTTCTTCCTTTCCCACTCCCCCTGCTTGTGTTCCCTCTCTCGCTGTGTCTCTCTCTGTCAAATAAATAAATAAGAATCTTTAAAAAAAGGAACTTCATCTTTCTAGTACCTTTGTATCTTCTAGGGCATTTGAAATAACAAGGTGCCCAAGTCTTTATTAATGTTTCGATAGGGAGAATCTAAATAATTTTTGTATATTTCTTTTTTTTTTTTTAATTTTTGTATATTTCATTGTGGATGTTCATCATCCCTCACAGTGACTGGAACACAGTAGGCCCTATAGTCACCCAGTTCTCCGGTAATTCCTATCTAACTCTCGTCTTCTCCTTAGTTGGCATTGTGATGTCCCCCATAATATTCTTTTTAATATTGCTATATCAGTGTTTAACTTCCAGCTTGGTATTTCTGCTGCTGACCTCATGCATTGGGTTTTTTACCTAATTAAGTGAAAGCAATTCTTTGTAAGAACAGTGCCTCTCTGAGCCTCTTCCCTAAGAGGTTGTGGACACTGATTTGTCCTCCTGAAATGGACCAGCTATTCTTTTTTAGGACGAGTTTGAGAAATGTTATCACACAGATGACAGAAGTTCTCTTTGCAGAAACGGCTTTCTCAGCCCTTCATCTGTTCGTAATTAGAACTGACGCATGATCGGATTTCCTGGTGGTTGACAGTGATGAGACTTTGGTTCTCAAGGAGTGTGTTCTTTTCAGCCTGAACTGTTGAAGAGTCTTGCTTTCACACCCAGAGCCGCCGACCAGTTTTCTCTTCCCTTCTAGAAATGACGCTGCTTTCCTCCCAGTCTTCATCACCAGTGGTCCCTCCTGGGTCGGTGTACACTGAAAACCCAGAGCAGAGGATGCTGGAGAAGAGAGCCAAGGTGATAGAAGAGCTCCTCCAGACGGAAAGAGACTACGTTCGGGATCTGGAAATGTGCATCGAGCACATCATGGTGCCCCTGCAGCAGGCACAGGTGGGAGCTGTGAGACCAAGTTCGCTTTACGGCGAACGTGATTCTCCCAGCCTGGAGCGCTAGGGTGTGGGCGCGTCCACCGCAAAGGGTTACGGGGTTTGAAATAAATGCTGTATGGCTGCTGCTCCTAACTGCAGGGCCCCGATGTGCGTGTCATCAGCTTAGGCTTTCAGCGTCCTGTCACTTCTCAAGACTACTGTTAACTTGCCAGACTTGCTGCAATAGCTCCAGGGACATGTCCTGCTTCCGTGGCTCCTGAAGACACTCATAGGCAGTCTGGATGGTCACGGCATTGGGACAGTGGCCTAATAATGAAGTCTGGGGATGATGGTTTCGGTGGCTCTCGCACCTGACGGTACAGCGTTTATTCAGGAAACCCTGCCCGTCACGTGTGTGCCAGCTACTTGTCTAGATGCTGGAGGTAGGGAAAAAAGGTTAACAGCCTCCTGGGGGGATTTACTGTCCTTACTGCTTGTTACTAGACCATCTGGGCCTGGCCAAGTACAAACCTTGGGTTTGTACTTCTGGAACATTCGCTCCTAAGAACTAGTATAGGAAGTGGGCACCGCCATCAGATTTTGGGTACTGCATGGGAATTTGTATCCCAATATAATTCGAGACCAGACTGGTAACACAGTCCTTTTACTAAGGTAGTGGGGGAGGGGGTCGAGCAGAGAGTAATTGGATCAGGGACAAGGAGTGACGCTAGAGATAATGCTGGCATGCTTCTGTCCTGGAATCTTGGTGACCGTGAGTAAAGCTGACGTTGAACAGTTTTGTACCATCCTTGGAGAGATGTTCCTAGTATGAATGGCATGCTATTAATTTCGTTTCCGTGCATCTTTACGTTTTGTTTCCCTTTCTCAGATACCAAACATCGACTTTGAAGGACTTTTTGGAAATATGCAGATGGTGATTAAGGTCTCAAAGCAGTTATTGGCTGATCTGGAAATCAGCGATGCTGTAGGTATGAGCTCCTGCCATTGCTTCAGAAGCAGCTCCCCACCCCCCACACTTTTTGTTAAACTTCACGGGTAGGAGGTAAGGGGTGAAGCAGCTTTGCTGGTACTAAGTGGGAAAATGAAGTTCTAGCTACTTAGCTCAGAGGCCACTTGGTCGGCTGCTTCTCCTTTTATCTACAGCCTACTTTGAGGTGCTGCAGGATGTTAGCAATAGAAGAGATTTTGGGTGTCACATAGCGTGAGTTTTCCAGACCGAAGGTTGCCGCCTGTTGGTGGGTCATGAGATCACTAGAGCAAGTTGCACCCGGTATATACTTTTTTCAATAAAATAAAATAGAAAATATCAGAATGTACTATAAAGACTGTGCACAGCTACAGCTTTTTGACACTCACGTCCACTGCACATATAATACTTTGACACTCACGTCCACTGCACATATAAGTAATACTTTGACACTCACGTCCACTGCACATATAAGTAATACTGTGACACTCAAGTCCACTGCACATATAAGTAATAC